CCCCCCATCCCACATGCGCCCACTCTGGTGGGGGAGGAGGGAGGAGGAGGAGGAGGAGGAGGAGGAGGAGGAGGAGGAGGAGGAGGAGGAGGAGGAGGAGGAGGAGGAGGAGCTGGCCACGTTCAACCCTTCCCCCCTGGGAGTAGCCGCTGTCTGAAACAGCCAGCCACCCCCGGGGGTGCCGCGCCCTCTGAAACGGAAGGTGGAGGTGTCGACCGGCTCCCGACCATGGTGCTCTGGGCGGCGCGGGCGAACACGCGTCCGCCGCCAGGAGGAGGAGGAGGAGGAGGAGGAGGAGGAGGAGAAGAAGCAGGAGGAGGAGAAGAAGCAGGAGGAGGAGGAGGAGGTAGGAGGAGATAGGAGGAGGAGGAGGAGGAGGAGGAGGAGGAGGAGGAGGTAGGAGGAGAAGGAGGAGGAGGAGGAGGAAGGATGCTTGGATGCTTGGGGAGCTACCCTGCGACCCCCCACCCGGTCCCACATGCGCTGTGCAGAGGTGGAAGCAGCACGCACTGGCTCCACACAGGCGATGGGCGCGCTCGAGCTCCGCCGAGGTCCCGAGTGGAGGGAAGGGCGGAGCGAGCGGCAAGGCCAAAAAGAGGCAGGAGAGCAAGCGAGGCAGTCTTCGAAACTCCGCCGGCGGTGTGCGGTTGACAGTGTGAAGTGCGAGGGGGGAGGACGGACGGACGGAGGCTTGAATGCCTGGGGTGCTACCCTGGCGAGGCCCAGAGATTGGGCGCATCGCGAGGCAGGCCACTCGGGCGAACCACCGAACGCGAAAGAGTCTGCGAGGCCGCGCCACATGTCAAGGTTTCCAGCCACCTCGGTCCAGCCAGCTGCCATGGCCCTGCGCCGAACATAAGCTCCTCATCTGACCATCCTACTTCATGGAGGCAGCATGGAGGGAAAGAGACAGCTGCCATGGCCTTGCTTCGTACGGAAGCGCAACGCCTGATCCTCCAACTTGATGGAGGGAGGGAGGAGGGAGGAAGAGGGACGGAGGAAGGAAGAGAGGAGGAAGTGAGGAGGAAGTCAGAAGGGATGAGGATGGAGAGAGGAGGAGGGAGGGAGGAGGGAGGAAGGAAGAGAGGAGGAGTGAGGCGGAAGTCAGAAGGGATGAGGAAGGAGAGAGGAGGAGGGAGGGAGGAGGGAGGACTGCGTCCTCCTCCTGCCCCCGCCCCCCCCCCACATTGCCCGTTCGCAGCACCGCCCGCACCGTCGCCCTCACGGCCGAGGTCCGCCACGAGATCCTCGCCCTGGGCCGAGATCCTCGAGCCCTCGGCGCTCTTCCTCCTCCTCCTCCTCCTCCTCCTCCTCCTGCTCCTATGAACTCCTCCTCCTGGCCCCTCCTTCTCCTCCTCCTCCTCCGCCTCCTCCTCCTCCCTCCTCCTCCTCCTCCTCCTCCTCCTCCTCCTCCTCCTCCTCCTCCTCCTCCTCCTCCTCCTCCTCTCCTCCTCCTGCCAACTCCTCGTCCTCCTCCTCCTTCTCCTCCTCCTCCTCCTCCTCCTCCTGACTCCTTCTGACTCCTCGTGACTCATCCTCCTCCTCCTCCCCACTGACGCTTCCTCCGACTCCTTCTGGCCCCTCCTCCTCCTCCTCCTCTTCCTCCTCCTCCTCCTCCTGGCTCCTCCTCCTCCTCCTCCTCCTCCTCCTGACTCCTGCTCTTCCCCGTCCTCCCTCATCCCCGCTCGCCCTCCTCCGCCGGAGGCCTCCCAACGGGCGTCGCACCCGCTGGTGTCGGAGGATCGCGCCGCACCGCCGACGCACCAGCAGCGACGGGATGGTCCAGCGCGGCCGCAAGGAACCCTCGCAAGAAACCCAACCCTGAGAACCCGTGCGCGAAGTACACCTGAGGGGAAATCCGGAGCACCCTGAACGCAGCAGCTCCCTCAACGGCCGCGGGAAGTCACCTCGCAGCGCGAGGAGCGAAGAAATCTAGGATACCCTGACGAAAAGCATATGGCGCCTTGATGCGCGCTCCCACTGTACCGCCGTATCGGCGATGCGGCGCGATCCTCCGACCCCATCTGCTCTGAACCCACGTAAGAAGCCTTGATCCCGTCCTCCCCCCCCCCACTCACCGCCCTCCACCGCCCCGTCACTCCTCGAGCCTCGGAGAAGCCAGAGCGGAGCGGATCGGGTCGCAGGCTGCGCGCTGGGGGCGGTGCTCACGTGCCCCCTTGTGCGCGCATCGCCAGCAGCCGGTCTGGCTTCGGAAGATCACCGCCAGGGGCCGTGAGATCCGACGTTGCGAACAGAATGCAAACTTCGTAAAACATCACATCTGAAATCCTGGAACCGATCTCCCTGTTGCATCTGTTGAGCCGCATCGAGGGCCCGAAACCAGGCGACAAACGACCGTCACGAAAAGAGACTTGCACTGCCCTGATCTTAGGGGACGTGCTCTCATCTTCCAGCTTGCGCCGGTCGAGGTGCAGCCCGCCCGTAGAATCAGACCGCACGATCAGGGTGCAGGGGCCTTCGAATGTCATGTCGGCACCTTGCGAGCGGGGCGTGGCTAGCGAAGGCGACCGAGGATGGGCCGAAGGGGAAGGATGCAGGGGCAAGCTTGGAAAGTTTGAAGGGGCCCTGGGACACACAAAAAAATAGACACACATAAAAAGGGTTCCCCCCATATTTGAGAGAGCGTGATCCACCGCCGCTTTACTGTGGAAAATTGCTGCACTTTTCCTCCGAAACCCGGGGTTCCCCCCCCCCCCTCCGAAAATCCCCCCCCCTGCTGGAACCCCTCCCCCCCCCCCCTTCCCCTCCCCTCCCAAAACCCCCCCCTCGAAAACCGGGGGGGTCACTACCGGTTCGAACCCCCCCCCCCACTCGAAAACCGGAGGGGGGGTCACTACCGGTTCGAACCCCTCCCCACCCCCCCCACTCACCGCCAGCAAACGACTCCCGGTCCCTACCACCGTCCGCACCACATCCCCCACTGTTGTTCCCAGCACCACTGTCCTCACCACCACTGTCCCCACTGGCTCCACCACCGTCCCTACTCTCCCCACCAGTGCCCCCCACCACTGTCGCACTGTCCCCACTGTCCCCACCACTGTTCCCACCAGGGTTCCACTCTCCCCACTTCCTCCACGGCCCCAACCACTGCCCGACCCGACTATCCTCACTGTCCCCACTGTCCCACTGACTCCTCCGCTGTCCCACTAAGCTGTCCCACTGTTCCCACCACTGTCCCCACTGTCCGCACCACTGTCCCCACTGTACCTCTGTCCCATTGTCCCACCGCCGTCCTCGCCACCGCCTTCACCACTGTCCCCACCACTGTACCCTCCACTGTCCCACTGTTTCCACCTCATTCCCACTGTCCCCACACCACTGTCCCCACCACCACCATCCCCACCACTGTCCAGTGTCCCTACTGTTCCCACCATTGTCCTCACCACTGTCCCCACCACTACCGTCCCCACCACTGTCCCACTGTCCCCACCACTGTCCCGCTGTCCCCTCACCACTGTCCCCATCACCACCGTCCCCACCACTGTCCGCACCCCCCCCCTCGGTTTTCGAGGGGGGGGGGGGGTTCGAACCGGTAGTGACCCCCCCCGGTTTTCGAGGGGGACGGGGGGGGGGGGTCCGAACCGGTAGTGACCCCCCCCCCTTTTCATGATGAAGGGGGGGGGGGAAGGGGTTCGAACCGGTAGTGACCCCCCCCGGTTTTCTGGAGGGGGGGGGGGAGAGGGGTTCGAACCGGTAGTGGGGGATCGACGATTAATTGTGTCTGTGTGTTTCTTCCCTCCTGAAAGTTGCTCGTCCTTACCATGTGGGTTGACTGTGGGCAGGCGCGCGCGCCCGCGGCGCCTTGTACGACGCCATCGCCCCCCGCGCGCGCGGGGGAGAGCCGCGAAGCCCCTCGCGCGCGCGCCTCCGAGACAGGGCGCCCCTGCGGCTCCTCGGGCCCTCGAGGGAGAGGGGCGGGAGGCGGGCAGGAGCGGAGGGGGAGGGGCGCGGGGAGGAAGGAAGGGAGGGAGGGAGGGACGCGGACAAGGGAGGAGGAGGAGGAGGAGGAGGAGGAGGAGGAGGAGGAGAAGGAGGAGGAGGAGGAGGAGGAGGAGGGGGGGGAGGAGGAGCGTGGCGGGCTTTTTGAACTCAGCCAGGAGAGGACGCACGGGACGCTCCCCCGAAGAAGTGGGCGCCCCGCGAAGGAAAATGCGGAGGGGGAGCGGAGGGAGGGAAGAGGGAGGACGGGGGACAAAGAGCGAGGACGACGAGGACGAAGAGGACAAGCAGGACGAGGAGGACGAGGAGGGAGACGGACGACGTCCCGCGACACCCGCTTGCAGAGGGGCCCGGAGCGCGACGAGGTGCCCACGACCTCCGACGCCGCGCCTTGCCCTCGAGACGGGGGGCCACAGAGCCCCCGACCCCGTCCCGCGGATCGGCCTTTCGCCGAGGGCCGACGACTGGGCATGAGGGGCAACGCTCCAGGAGGGGACCAGCTCCTCCTCCTCCTCCTCATCCTCCTCCTCCTCCTCCTCCTCCTCCTCCTCCTCCTCCGCCTCGTTTTCCTCCTCATCTTCCTCCTTTTCCTCCACACGGCGCCCGCGCCCCTCCTCCCCGATTCCCGATACCCGAGCCGCCAGGAGCCTCGGCGCTCGATCCTCGGACCTCGCTCCCGACCCTCGGCCCCACGGCGACGATGGTCAACGAAGGGGGGGGCGGACGGGCTCCATGGGGGGGAAACCTCGGCCTGGAATCGGCGATGCGTCGCCGACGGATCGGCGATAGTCCCCCGATAGCGAATCCGCACGCTCCCGGGCGGGAAGGGCCATCGGGCCCCTTATCAGCGATCATTGGGCGATCGAGCGTGGGTGCATTCCCCCCTGAGCCCATCCCCTCTGACGCCGCCCCCGGATCCTGGGGCCTGGAGTCGGCCCTCGGAGAGCAGTGCTGCCGATCTGCCGAACCAGCGCAAAGGTCGCGACTCTTCGCGGCCACGGGGGATCTGGGCGCGCGGAGCCCTCCCCCGTGCAGGGGACCCCAGCGTCGCCAGCGCCAAGCTCCAGTTGGAGCCCTTCTCGCACGCGCTGACCTTCCAATGGCGCAGCGCGGCCCCCTTCGTCGTCGCAGCATCCGCCGCCGCCGCCGTCGTCGTCGTCGTCTTCCTCCTCCTCCTCGTCGTCATCAGCCTCGGCATCATCAGCCCTCCATTTCCAAAGGAGGAAGCACGACGATGAGGGAGGGGACCACATAAAATGAAGAGGATGGGGCGTATGCTAATGAGGGCAGAGGAAAGGGCAGTTGGGAAGAAGGAGGAGGGGAGGGGGCAATCTGGAGGAGGACGAGGACGAGAGGGGGGAGGAGGGTCTCGGACGGGGAGGAATACAACGCGGGAGGAGGACCAGGGAAAGGAACGGATCGAAAATTAGGGAATCAAGGAGGACGGGAAAGAGGGATGATACATCTGGGATGGGGGGGCGATGAAGAGGATGAGGAGGAGGGCGAGAGGGAGCACCCGCAAGTCAACAGGCTGCGGCCAAAACTGTGAACGCGGGGGGCCTGAGTCCTGAGCTCCACCTGAAGAGCCCAAGACACCCCGACCCTCAAGGCGGCGAGGACCTTAAGGTACCATTACGCACGTCCAGGTGACGATGTGCAGCGAGTGGGAGTGTCGGCGGCGAGCCATGGGGGAGAAGTGAGAAAGAGCGGGCCTTTTCAGAAGCCTCGGAAGTCCTTTGGCCTTCTGAGAAGCTTTCTAAGCCTTCCCCGAAGACGGCGAAACACCTCTCAGAAGGCCGGAGGGCTCTGTTTTTATTACTGGTATTAGCTATGTTATTTGTTTCGTGGTAATCGTATTACCCATCGTACCAGTATCATTAACTTGTTTATTAATAGTGTGCGCGTTAGTGTGCTTGTCCGTATCAGTAACGAACCTGTTCCTACCAACATTAATGCTATTCGTATTCGTCGTGTGAATATGAGTATTCACACCATTCTTCATATTTCTCGAATTACCCTTATTCTTACGATCAACATTCTTAATACGACTGGTATTAGTATTCGTGGTCTTGCTATTATTCGCACTGTTATTCGTCGTTGTTCTTGTTCTATGGACGAGCGAGTTGACTGGGGAAAGGAGAAATCGGTCGGGGACGATTCCCAAGGGCCCCCAAGAATCAGGAGCCAGGGCCCCTCTGAAGAGATCTGGAATCAGAGCCTGGTAGGAGGGGGAACAGATGAAGAAAGAAGAAAAGGCCCCAGGTGGCTCCGGGATACTCAGGTTGACCCCCCGCATGGCCTCCAAGAGCCCCCCAGGATGGCCCCCCCAATGGCTCCGAGGTAACCCTCGAGCTTCCCGGGGCAGAGGCGCAAGGTGGTGGGCCGAAAAACCTCCGAAGTCATCCGAACACCGCAAAAAAAACTCCCGACACCTCCCGCCCTCTTCCCACTCCGCCTCCTCCTCTTCCTCGTCCTCCGCCTCCTCCTGTTTTACCTCCACGGGCCTCGCCGCGGGCGAAGGCCGGTTTGGGTCGAAAGAGGACGAGCCGCGTCGAAACAGCGCGTCAGGGGATGCGATTCCATCGAATGAGACGGGACGTCTGAGACAGGCGGCAGGTCGCGAGCTCCTCCTCCTCCTCCTCCTCCTCCTCCTCATCATCATCAGCCATCATCATCATCATCATCATCATCATCATCATCATCATCATCATCATCATCATCATCATCATCATCATCATCATCATCATCATATTCATCTTCATCTTCATCTGCATCATCATCATCATCATCATCATCATCATCATCATCATGAGCATCATCATGAGCATCATCATCATCATCATCATCATCATCATCATCATCATCATCATCATCGTCATCATCATCATCGTCGTCGTCGTCATCATCATCATCAGCAGCATCCATCATCATCATCCTCATCATCACCGCCACCATCATCATAATCATCATCATTATCATTATCATCATCAGCATCAGCAGCATCATCATCAGCATCAGCATCATCATCTGCATCATCATCAGCAGCATCATCATCATCCTCATCACCATCCTCATCCTAATCATCATCATCATCATCATCATCATCATCATCATCATCATCATCATCAGCATCATCATCATCATCAGCATCATCATCATCATCCGCATCATCATCATGCACCAGCATCCCAGTACGAGCAACAATGAGCGAGCACAACGACTCGGCAAGCATGGGTTCGAGCGCCTGTAACTACATGAGCAGGGCAAACGCAGGACCACCGGGAGAAACACCATCAAAAACACTGCGCACATCGGAATTGGCCTGAACCAGCCACCTGAGCCCACGACGCCGCACCCTGGGCAGAAGCGATACGTTCCTGAGTCGGCACATCCTCGAGCTCCGCCGTTGCTGAGATGAGCTCCGAAACTATGTCGTGTACTGTTTCTGCAACTTGGTAACACACATTGCGGTGTCTGCGCCACCTGGCGCTTGAGATCGTGATAAACACTCTGCGCATGCTTGGCCACCGCCTTGGGGTTTCCATCTGCCAAGGCCCTTTGACCAAGCACTTTGGCACGTTGCGAGGGGCCCATGATAGAGTTGCACACGTTGGCACCGTCGCCGGACATGCGCACAAACGAGACGAGCTGAGCGAGCTCGAGCTGTTTGTGTACTGATTTGGTGGGCGAAGTAGCTGGCGGCCCTCCTGCCCAAGCACCTGAGGCACCGCGCTGAGCAGCAGGAGCAGGAGCCCGATTGCGAGGGATGCCATAGTTGTAGCAGAACTTATTTTAACCAGAGTCGGCATTGAAAGCCGAACTTTTTCTTGGCGCAGCACCAGACATCATTGCGCGACCATTCGCCCATCCGAACGGACTTAGAAGGATCGCAAGAGCCCTGACAGGAGCGTGACAGCCATCCCCGAAAGGGGTTTGGGAAAGAATGTGTTGGGCGTCCCCCTGATCTCTGTCGCACAACAACGGGCACCTTGGGCCAAAATGGCGACGGATCGCTTCATGGTCCTCCTCCTCCTCCTCCTCCTCCTCCTCCTCCTCCTCTGCCGCCACCTCCATCCGCATTCCGCCAACGCCATGCTTATTTCAAGCGAAGATTGACAATTTCGTCGTAAAACGATACCCTGGCTGACACGTGCTTTTTTCCCCGGAAGGCCTCCTCCTTTCAGCGCAGGCCCGTGTGCTCCCGCTGGGTGGCGCTGGTGCCCCGTGTCGGCCTCCCGAGGGGCCTCCTGGCACACTTGCCACCGACGCCACCAGCGGATCCAATCCGAACCACCCGCATCCTCCGCAGCACCCGGGACGGACGAGGGAAGGCGCAGGTCCACGCCCGCACCCTCCTCCTCCTCCTCCTCCTCCTCCTCCTCCTCCTCCTCCTCCTCCTCCTCGAGCAGGAATGGGCACCGCCCCCTCGACGCCTGGGCAGCCGCTCGCAGGCGCTCCCACCGTCTTGGCAGTGCCGGCCTCGGGTTTCGGAGACGAGCCGCCGGGGGGCAGGCGCGGGAGGTACAATGACGGGCGGGGCCGGGCCCCGCTCCCTGGGCGCGCGCCCGCGTTTTGCTCCCCCTGCGCAGCCTGCACCGTGGCGGCGTCAGAGCGCCGGGGGGGCCGCGAGCAAGGCCGCCTCCTGCCCTCGGTCCGTGGGACGCCGACCAGATGGCGACGTGCTGAGACCCTCTCCTCTGCCCCCTCTCTTGAGGGGGCCCTTGGCATTGCGAGGGCCACTTGTTCACACCGAGCTGTGTGGAGCTCGCACCTCACACAAACGGAAATGGGAGCATCCTGAATGGACGCCACAGCAACGGCGTGCGATTGGTGAATACGCTCGAGACCGAGCCGACATGCAAAACATAAAGCTGGCAGGCTTCGCGTTCGCAAGCAACTGCCGCCTCATAGGTACGAGGGGAGGTGAAACATGATGCGCAACGATGCTAGACTACACCGCTGAGCAGCCCCCACTGGTGTGCCACGAGACAAAACTGGGTCTTCCTGTGAAGCTTAGCTCTCTCGCTCCTGTGCCTGTTCTTCTGCACGGGTGCCAGGACGCGAGGCGCGAACTTGGCCACGGCCCTTGCAATGCGAATCGTACCTGGCAGCTCTGCTAGGGCCGTAGGATCAAAAGAGGCGTGACAGGCGAGCGCATCCTTAGCCAGCAAATCTGCAGACTTGCTTATATCGGCAACAACCTTGGCCTCACCCGCGAGCAAGGGAATGTCTTGAGGGCTCTTGACGCTGGTCGCCTGTAAAAAAGTGCCTGCTGCCAGGCGCCAGCGCACGCTTGCGAAGCCCAGAATACTTTAGCTTGCCGCCTAAACGCTGAGGGAGCGGTTTTGAAGGGGCCCCAGGACACATGAATAAATACACACAAATAAACATTTTCCCCATATTTCCCCATGATACTTTCTGGGTTTTTGTCTTCCCCCCACTTCCCATATTTCCCATATCTTCCAGGAAATCGACGATTAATTGTGTCTGTGTATCTGTTTCCCCTCCTGAGGTTTGGCGTACTGATCTAGAACACCTTTACAGTCAAGCCGGGCTCTCGAGGGCCTGCGAGGGCCTCTCTTGGAGCACCAGAAAGCCCATCCGCTCGCCCGCTTGGCCGTCCGAGGAAGCTGGGCCCCAGCGGCCCCCCCCTGAAGGAAACTGCCGGGGCCCTGTCGCCGCTGCACGCCACCACCGAACGAGGAGGTCTGCTGGGCTCTGAGATGCCCTTCCCGGTGCAAGACCCCTCGTTGCCCGCGGGCCCCCCGCAAAAGCACCGGCACAGTGCCCCGCTGGCCGCCATGACGGGAACACTTGGCGGTGGGCTTCTCGGCAGGGTCGCGGAAGCCTGCCGTGCTGCTCGCCTGGGTGCTCGAACCCTCCGTGGAGGCAGAGCGGGCGGGCCGCTGGCGCCTCGAGCGCGGCCTTCGGAGCGCCTCTGGCGGCAGCATCTGTCCTGAGGGCATCTGCCACAGGGTGCTGGCAGCAATACAGCCTACAGTCAAAAACCCTAATCAGGACGCGCGGTAAGGACGTAAGACCCTTGGAAGCCGAAGTTGGGATTTTGGGGCAGCGGACGACGAAAACCCCAAGGACGCAGGGGTACCCTGAGCAAGGACGCAAGGGTACCCTGAGCAAAGTCACGCGTCCATATTAGGGTTTTTGACTGTCTGGTGTATGGTGTCACCATGAACGCCGCAAAGGGGACAACAGCTGGGTACGGCATACCCGAACTGCTGGGCTGCATCTTCAGTCCACCACCCTTGCACGATCAGGGTCTGCAGCATGCCCTTGGAACTGGGACTCAGTTGTTTGCTGTCGGGGGAGAGCAACGAGCAAACGATACCAAAACATACCCTTCGAAGAGGGGTGGGGCTGGGGAGGGACTTGGGGGAAAACATTTCCCACATCCTCTGGCATCCTTGCTGCAGCAGGTATCTTAGCAAGGCGGGGGGCGTATTGGTGAGCTTGATCGTCCTGCCGGAATGATCCAGCAGGGTGCAGGCCGAGGTGAAACGCCATCCTATCCGATCAAGGGCATGGAACGGTCCTCGCACAGCGTTGCAACGAAGGCCACCTACTGGCTGCACCGAATCATATACGTTTTTTTATTTCTAAGAGCCCAAGAGTACCAAGAGTACTGGCTGTCAAACGCTTACCACAGTTTATCAAAATCGAATCCTTCATATACCTCCTGGAATATCCATGGAGGTCCCCCTAAGTATTTCATCATCGAACGGTTCCAGGAAGTTCCAAAGAAAGAAGGAAAAACGGTTATATAGACCTGCACACGCAGAAACGCGTACACACACACTCACACACACAAACACACACACACACACACATTCACACTTTGGCGGTCGCGGCCTCGCGCGCGGCGACGAGGCGAATCAAACACACACACAAGATCCTGCCAACCAGAGTCTGCTCGAAGTTGGTCCCCCCCCCTTCCCGTGCCCACCCTTGCAATTTTGCCATCCAGGATATATGAGTAGCGGCCCCAACAGTCTGAACCTTACCGACATAGGTAGGGGAACAAAAAGGGGCATAAACATAAAAACTCGGAGGTCCGCGCGGATTTCTCGGATCGGCGCCGGACCCCCCTCCCTGGCGCGCGGAGCGCGCTAGGGGCGGCGCCGGAGGCGCCGCCGGGGGGCCCCAGCGCCGATCCGAGAAATCCGCGCGGACCCCCGAGTTGTTATGTTTATGAAACTTCTTGTTCCCCTAATAAGCATTCGACTCCCCCCTCCGCCCCAAGAGCCCCGACGTCGTGCCTTTTTCCTCGCAGCATGGACCCATGGAGGTCTCGACGCCTTCTCCGGAGCAGGCTTTTCATCCTGAGCCGTGTTTGGTTGTCTTTGGGCGCATCATCAGCTCGCCACCGCTTGGACGTCCACTCCCTGTGCATGCTTCGGTGTCGTGCGCGTATGCTTTCGCAGCGTGAACCAACCTGGTCCTCGATGGCCCTCGCCGATAAAACATGCGCACGTCCGAGCGATGCCAAGCCAGCTCCCCGATGCCGACGCGAGGGGGGGGTCTGAGTCTCTCCCTGCCCCTCCCGTACGACGCCCCCCCGAAGAGGACCGCCGTGCTGAACGTGACGACGTCCGCCTCGCCCGGCCCCAGGCCAGACGCCAGCACCAGGGCGACCCTCCACTGCCTCGGGCGCGGGGGCTTCCTTCCCGCGGGAAGGGCTGGTGGAGGCCTCCAAGATGAGGTCTGAGTAGGTATGATCGAAGGATCGAGCCGCATCGCGAACACATCGGCGATGCATCGGCGATGCATCGGCGACGTCGGCGACGCTTCGGCGCCCGCGGCGTGCAGGAAATCAGGCCTTCCATCGAGACGCATCGCCAATGCAACGGCGACGCGGCGCGATCTACAGACCCCATCGGCTTCGACCACATTCGGATGTAAAGGGGGCGGGGCAGACATCCCAGGCTTCCAACACACTGAAAAAACATATGTTGCTTCGAGCGGTCCTCACCGAAACCTTAGGCGTTTGATGCCCAAGGTGCGCGCGCTCAATGGAACGATGTGCGTGGGGCTCGGCGGGCAGCGTGGGCGAGTCGGCGCGGGGGCGTGGTGCTGGCGGTAGCTTGTGTTGATTATGCAGAGTGGGTGTGTCCGCACGGGCGCGCTTATGTTGTGCTGCGAGGTGTGGTGCTATGCTATGTTCTGCGTGACCAATTCTGTCATAGCGTATGGTGTCATCTTATGATATGTTTTGCTATGCTATGACATAGTTTACCGCGCCCTGGCACGGTATTGTTTGTCATGGTATGGAATGATATGTGCTGTGATGCTGTGTTATGTTGTGGTTTGTTATGCCATGATATAGTATATACTGTTATGCTACGTCATGGTTCAGGCCCGCGGGGGGGCGAGAGGCGACGCGTGAAAACAACATCAAGTCAGATTTGTTTTTTATTTAAAAAATAAACAGATCGCAGGCACCAGTGTTTCGCCGGCGGCGGGGCGCCCAGTCGGGCCGTCCCCGGAGGACTTGGAAACCAAGGCGCCACACTCGAGCCCCTCCCGAGGTGGCGCGCCCCGGGGGCTCAGAGTTTGCACCCTGCCACACCCATAGCCCCCCCCGAAAGGGCGCGCCCCTGGGCTCAGAGGAGCACCATGCCACACCGAGGCCCCCCCGCGATGAACCAGCCGAGGCGCCACACTCCAGCCCCTCCCGAGGTGGCGCGCCCCGGGGCTCCGAGGAGCATCCTGCCACACCTATAGCCCCCCCGCGAGGAACAGGCCGCCAGGGCCCTGCCCGTCGCCCAGGTGCCGCCGCCCACGCTGGGAGCGGGCCTCCGACCCGCGAGCAGCACGACGACGAGCTCGGCCCCTGGGCTGATCCGATCTGAGCTGCGCTGCGCCACGCATGGCAACACACACTCACGGAGCTCAGCCAGAAGCCGCTGCGACATGCAGTGAAAAAAGTACATGATATATAGTGAGTCAAGTATCACCAGGCAGGAATCACACTACAGCTCCCAGGAGGCCCCGAGTGAACCCAAGAAGGCCCAAAGAAAACCCCGAGCAGGCACAACAAGGACCCCTCTTGGATCCTCCCGAAAAGCATTCCGGGCCCAACAGGTCTCGTAGAGGACCTCATGAGAGCTTCACGGTGGAACCGACATGAAGCCAGGAGGATCCCAAGAGGGCTCCAAGATGCCTCCCCACTCGGACCCAAGAGGTTCCAACATCAACTCAGATCGTGCGACATGATCTAGCCTTCATGAAATTATCTCGGGGCTTTCTTTGAGCTTTCTTGGGGCCCTCTTGAAGCCCTCCGGGGGCCCTCCCATGTCAACTCGGGGCCCCCAAGAGAGCCCCAAGAGGGCGCCCAAAGAGCTCCCACTTGGACCGCAACAGCGCCCAAAATCAAGTCGCACTGTGCGATTTGGAAGCTCTCTTGTGGCCCTCTGAGACAACATATTCGGACCCCTGGGGGCCCCGAAATTGCCCCAAGACGGCCCCAAGAGTGCCCCCAGACGGCCCCGAGCACGGGGTGCAATTAGACACCGAACTTGGGGCTCGCTTGGAAGTCTCTCGGGGCCCTCTTGGGGCCTTCTCGGGGCCCTCTCGGGGCCCCCTGGCGCCCCAAAGCGCTGTGAGATTCCCAAGAAGGTTCCCAGATGGTCCCAAAATGGCTCCATTATTCCCAAGAAGGCAACCCCTCGCACTGTGGAAAAAAACATACCTTCGAAAAATGACCTGGCACTCTCCCGGGGCTCTCTGGGTCCCGAGCTAATTCCTGAGTTGCTGATCCCTGAGGTGCTTGCTGCACTCGCTAAAAGTGGAAACCCTCACCTGCTTTGTAAAATCAGCGTTCCGAAGGGTCTGGCACTGGTGGGAACGTTAACTGGTGGCCCTGAGGTGCTGGCGCGAATGGCTCAAGTCGAAGCCCTCAAGCGCTTGGAACAATTAACCTTCAAGAGAGTGGTTGTCAAAGCAGGTCGAGGGCTGGCTTTGGTGCGAACCACGCTTGATGTTTTTGAAATGCAAGCCGCAATTTGGATAAACACGGAGGCACTTACCTGCGTTGAAAGACCTGCCTTCTGGAAGCTGCTTGTCGGAGCAAGCAAGGGGCTGGTTTTAGTGCGAATCTGAGCTGATGGCCCTGAGGTGCTGACAGGAGTGGCCGAAAATCCGAACCATTTTCCGCATTGAAATACCGACGGTCCGAGTCCAACCTCCCCACCCCCCCTACACCATCCCTAATATTCCTTGGCCTCCTCCCCGCCCTCCTCCTCCTCCTCCATCGCTCACTCACGCTCCATCACTCCAACGCCCGTCCTCCATCCCCGCCTCCAACCCATCCCCTCCCAACCTCCTCCCTCTGTCCCCGCGCTCGCCACTCGGCATGTGCCCAACAAGGATCGGTGAACAAACTGCCGGAGCCTGTCGCAGACACCAAGGAACCATACCCGAATCAAAAAAAACAACCAGGCCTGGAAAATCCGGGTGAAATTTGTCCACCGCTCTTAAGTATACAGGCACACTCCGAACGGCCCCTCCTTCGTTGAAACATATCACCACTTTATCACCACAATTTCACAACGTTATCACCCCATACGTCACCGCACTCGTCTTCCAAGGATTCGGCAGGTCCGAAACGCCCATCTCGTCAGACATATGCGCCCTAATCAACAACTCTTTCAGAAAACCGCCTGTTGGACATTGTGGCGATGCCCGCGCGTGAACATCCCCACAAAATAATCAGGAGGCCATGGGAGGTTATATGAGGTCACAGGAGCGCTCGGATTCCTCAAGGAGGCCCCATGATCGTTTAGGTTGCCACGACCGTTTATGTTGCCCCGCAGGTGCTGAGAAACGCTCAGGTTGAGGCTGCCACGCAAGTGCCACGACCGCTGAGGTTGCCATGCCAGCACTACGAAATTCGAGGTTGCCGCGACCGCATAGGCTGCCACGACCGCTCAAGCTGCCGCGACCGTTTATGTTGCCGCGACCGTCAGATGGCGTCACACGCTCTGCCAAAGACCGCTTCGACTGCCGCGCAGGTGCTGCGAAAAATACGCATCACGCGTGGAAGCTCTGGGCAGGGGCCGTCCGGGGCCCCAAAGCGGGCGTCAGAAGCTCCCAAAAGACTGCAGCTGCCCCCCCCCCCCGCACTTTTCCCGAACCTCGCAAGACATGCGACGCCCAGAACTCTCTCCAGCCCTCGGGCCCCCCGAATTCCCCTCGGTCCTCCAAGCCCGGCAGCCCCTCCGCACCCTCCGACCTTCCAGCCCTCCAAGACCGGAACTCTCGAACTCTCCCCCGCTCCGAGAGGCCCAGCCCTCCAAAGCCCCAGCCCTCCAACCCTTCAAGTACTCCAGACCCCCGAATCTTCCAACCACCCGGAACCCGCGAACCCTCGAACCCTCCAGCCCTGCAGTTTGCAGCCCTCCAGCCCTCCATGGGGGGGGGCGTGGGGAGCCACGCGAAGCCATTAGATGCCACAGGAAGCCACAGGAGCATCGAAACCACTTGCCCTAGCCAGCCCAACCAGCCAGCCCAACCAACCAGCCACCCAAACAACTCAACCAGCTCAACCAGCCCAACCAGCCACCCCGCAACCCCAGCCAACCCGCCACCCCGCCAACCCGCCTCCCCCCGCCGCCTGCCCTCCGTCACCGTCGAGAGGGGGGGGAAGTGTTTCTTACAAGCGAAAACCACAAAAATCACCCTCCCGGGGTCCGGCGGGTCAGCGGGGGGAGGAGAAATCGCACCGTACTATGCGGGAGCGGGATTCGCGCCCGAGGTGCCCAAAGACGATTTGGGGCCTCAAGTGCGACACTGTCGTCATTTTATTACCTTCACCGCGCTCCCCTTCTCAACGGAAAGGCTCCCATCCGTGAAACTGTCGTCATTTTTCAGCTCCCGCGAGAGGCTTCTTAGAGGCCCCCAGAGGCTCCAGGAGGGCCCATGGCGGCCTCGGGAGTGCCTAGGAGATCTCCGGAGGGCCCCAGGAGGACCCACTCTGCACCGCGCCCCCCTTCTCAACGGAAGGGCCCCCATGCGTGAAATTATTTTCTTTTCATCATTCCGCCCCCGCGAGAGGGTTCTGAGAGGGCCCATGGAGGCTCCAGGAGGGCCCATGGCGGCCCCGGGAGGGCCCACGAAATCTCAAGAGCCCCCCGGAGGACCCATTTTGAATTACACTCAGGGAGCTCCAGAAGGCCCAGGAGGCTCCAAGAGGCCCCAAGAGGCCCCGAAGAGCCCAAACAGGCCACAGGACCCCCAGCACGCTCTAGGAGAGCCAAGGCGACACCAAGAGGCTCCAGGACGGGCGTCATTCCCTCTCCTCCTCCTGCTCGTCGTCGTCATCCTTCTCCTCATCCGTCCTGCTTTTAATCCTTCCTCCCCCTCTTCCTCCTCCTTCTCCTCTTTCTCCTCCTCCTCCTCCGCCTCCTCCTCTTCCTCCTCCTCCGCCTCTTCCTCCTCCTCCTCCTCCTACCTCATCCGTAGCCTCGATGGCTCCGATAGCGCCGTGCGCGAGATCCGCCTCCTCCCCATCCGTCCTCCTCCCTCCTCCCTCCTCCCTCCTCCTCACTCCTCCCTCCTCCTCTCTCTCGGGAGCGTCACAAAGAGGCCCTCCGAGGAGAATTTCACGACAGCAAGGGCGCCGACACGATGAACAGACACCACGTCGGGGCTCTGGGAAAGGAGTCGAAGACGAAACCTCTAATAACGTAATCTTTGATGTTCGGGGCATTTTTCTGACCACCTGCGAGCCTGGCGCAAGCACACGAGTGGAGGAAGAGACACCACGACGCTCCACGGAGTAAACTGCACCCAGTTGGTTCCTACCCCCGTGAGGGGCGTTACAGGGTACGGGAGGTAGCATGTAATCGTGGAGGGCCGTAGGTGACCATCGGAAGCAATTGTAGGCGGACCGCCACGCGGCTGACCCCGACAAAAAACACCTGACGAGGCCACAGGAGACCACCGGAGGTCTTACAGCAACGCCAGGGCCTGCTTAAAATCACAAAATCTGGAGGCCACTTTACTGTGAAAAGTCTTGGGCCCACTTGAACTCAGAAGACCGCCTCAACCGTGGCCTCCCTCGTGCAATCCGGAGCACGCACGGATGCTGGGAAACGCTTCAATTCTCAAATACCGGCCCCACTTGAATTCAGACACGCCCTGGGCCCACTTGAAATTTCGTGGGGCTCGCAGCTGACAAGGGCCAATATGTGGGGGGGCCTCATTGACAGAGACCACATTGGGGGGGGGGGGGGGGGGGGCCTTGAGATGGCAGTGCCCATCCTGTGCGTGCTTCCGAAGGCAAGGCGGGCCGACGCACGAGCGTCATCGACGCGAGGCCATCAGAGGCCATGCGCAGCCATGAGAGGCTGCAGTGGCTGGCGGCGGCAGCAGCTCGCTGAGCCAGGCAACATTTAAAATAAACAAATGTCTGAACGCGTTCGGCTCCTTTGAGCGAGCCGAACCAGGAACCCAGGGCTCTCCCCGCCCGAGACGACTCCAAGACCCCGCCCCTACAAGGGTTTCGTCGATACCCCAAATGCCCCCAAGATTACTTCAGGACCCCCCCCGGGAATCAGCGTGGCTGGGTAACAACGGGAAACTGCATACTTCGGCGCAAATGGAATATGCACATACAGATACGTCCCCCGCGACACGGTGCTTGGCTCCTGCTTAAGCTGGCCAGGAAAACGCAACGCGCTGCAATGCAACAGCATCAATGTGGACGACGCGCGCTGCATGAACCCACGCGCCACAAAATCATTCATTTTTCAGATAGATTTAAAAATGCGCGTCGAAAAACTACCTGGATATCACTCTGAGGATGCGCGGGCGTGACATGACATGCTATGCTATGTAGGTTATGGTATGCATACTCCGATGTGTAATCGCATGCATTGTTAAGCTGTGTTGTGTTATGGAATGTGATGCCATGGTATGTGATGATGTGGCATGGTCTGGCTTGGTATGTTAAGTTCTGCGTTGATGTGTTCTGGTATGCGTGAGTTGTCATGGTATGGAATGGTATGTGCTGTGATGCTGTGATATGGTATGCACTTCTCTGTCATGGTGTGTTATGAACGACCCCAACCTGTCGGGTGGGGAAAACATAGATTTTGGCTTTCGGCTTCCGAGGGCCCCCGCCGGGCCCCGGCACTGCCAAGAAACGACTCAGGATGAAAAGCTGGCCCTGGGGAAAGTGTCGGGACTTCTCTTCTGGGGGCCCCGTCTCGAAGAGCAACAACGACGCCTCGGGATCTCTGGGGTATAGCATGATTTCTGGCCCCGGGGCCCTCTCCGAGGCCCGAGGACCGTTACTGAAGAAATAAAAAGATTACCCATAGTCTCCCATATGTTTGGGGTTTATGCCTTCCCCCCCACTTCCCATATTTTCCCATATTTTCCTGGGGGTCGACGATTGATTGTGTCTGTGTGTTTCTTTCCCTCCTGAGTTGCAGAAACAACTCAGGATGCTCCGATTCGTCCCCGAGGCCTGCTGCGGACGCAGGCGCCCATCGTCGCGTTCAGCACCTTGAGGCCCCTCGGGCCGGTCGCGCCGTCGGGCGGCAGCGCCTCGAGCACGGCGAGGGCCTGCCGCGGATATCCCCCACCCACGACGGAGGGCCACGACATGAGCAGAGAGCATCCTCCTCCTCCTCCTCCTCCTCCTCCTCCTCCTCCTCCTCCTCCTCCTCCTCCGCCTGAGTGCGACGATGAGGAGCAGCAGTAGGAGTCCGAGTAGGTAGGGTCGGAGGATTGCGCCGCGTCGCCGGTGCATCGCCGATGCAGCGGCGATGCATCGGCGATGCCCTGGCGACGTCAGCCATACATCGCCGCCGTCAGCGTGGAGACACTCGAGCCGCATCGTGCATGCATCAACGATGCGGCCCGATCGGGCACCCTCTACTCTGACCTCATTAGGGCGGCTTGGACGCTCTCTCTCTCTCTCTCTTCCTCTCTCTCGCTCTCTCTCTTTCTCTCTCTCTCTCTCTTCCGCTCTCTCTCTCTCTCTCTATATATATATATATATATATATATCTCCGCTCTCTCTCTCTCTCTTTCTCTCTCTCTCTCTCTCTCTCTCTCTTCTCTCGCTCTCTCTCTCTCTCTCTCTCTCTCTCCCTCCATATACACCTGTAAATATTTACACACATATATTGACTTTCTGACCGTCGCCGTGCTAATTGGTGCCTCGGTTCGGCATATGATCGAATTGGGGCTGCTATGGCGCGCGGTCGTTTGTGAGTGTCGAGGTCAGAACTACTGGAGCCTGTCAGGAGGCCTCTTGGGGCCTGTTGAGGGCCTTTGGGAGCCTCTTTTGGGCCTCTTGGCAGCCTCTTGGGGCCTCTTGGGGCCCTGCTGGCGGTCTCGAGGGGCCCCTTTGGGGCGGAGGGCTCGAAATCTGAATTCGAGTTCCCCTCGTTGGACCCCTCTGGGGGCCTGATGGTCCTCTGGGGCCGTCTTGGGCGATTCTTGGGACGTCTTGGGGCCCGCTTGGGGCGTCTCGGAGACCGCTTGGGGGCCTTTTGGGCAATCTGCGCGTGATCTGGGAAGACTCTTGGGCCGTCTTGGACGCCGTGAAGGCCGAAAAGTCGCATGTGCTAGAAATGTAGGTTCTCGCATGGCAATGGGACAGTGTTTGCCTCTTGGAGCTCTGTTGGGAGGGCTCTTGGAGGGAGGACTCTTGGGACGTCTTGGAGGTCCCTTGGGCCGTCTGGAGGCCATCTGAAGCGTCTTGGATCGATCGCTCGGCGACTCGGGGTCCTCTTGGACCGTCTGAGAAGCCTGTTGGAACCATCTTGGCTCTTGACCTATCTTTGGGCCCCTATTGGGGCACTCTGGGGCCGTCTTAGGCTGTCCAAGGGCGCTCCGGAAACAGCCAGCCCGCCAGGCCCAAAAACAAGTAAGATCCGTATTCTACGCATGTAGGTATTCACTGGATTCGTATAGATATTCCTCTTCCTATCTTTTTACAAGCCCGACGGGGGACCCCCACTAGAAAAAGCAAGCCCACGGATCCGTGGCCCCGGGGGGCCCCTGGACGCCCCTGAAGGAGGCCCCCAGGATTTCCAGAGCTCCTGAAGCCCCTGCTGGGCCTAGGCAGCGGGCCAAATCGGTCAGGAGGGCAGCGGCGGCGGTGGCCGTGCGCGGCAGCTGGTCGCGAGGGGCTGGTGCGCAAGCTGCATGGGGCCGCGGCAGACGTCCGGTCCATGGGCCCTCTGCTCCTGCTGCTCATCCTCTCGTCCCCTCCTCCTCCTTTCTCCTCCGCCCTCTCCTCCTCATCCGATCTTCCTCCGCCCCCTCCTCGCGGAGGGGGGGAGAAGGGAGAGAGGCAAGGGAAGGAGGAAGGGAGGAACAGCAAGGAGGAGGGAGAGATGGGAGGGATGGTGGACGAGAGGGACGAGAGGGAGGAGCAACAGGAGCAGGAGGGTACTACCCGTGGGGGCCCGCCTGGCGCCACTTCCCCTTGTGTCCAAGTGCGGCTATCCAGGACTCGGTCGAGGGCTTCTTCGCCTCGGCGGCTTTCTTCGCCTCGGCGATGGGGCATGAAATGATTCATGGGGATCTCCCGTCCCCTCCCCTGTCCTACAACATATCACTCCATTCCCTCCGCCTCTCGGCCTGCATCCCGCCCCCCTCCTCCCTCCCCATCCCCATTCGCCCGCTGCTCCAAGCCCCCCAGAAATATCCCCAGTAGGAGGAAAGGAGGAGGGAGAAGGGAGCAGTTAAGACGGAGGAGCTGGGAGGAAGCCCAAAGAGTTCCCTCGGAACCCACCCAAGCACCTAAAGAAGGCGCTCGGGAACCTAAACATCCCACTTTTCCCCCCCTTCAGACGACAGCCCCCCCGACGACCCCGACGACGACGACGATGGCGGCCCCCGGCGAACGGCGGCGCACGGCGCCGAACGACGGCGGCGACGATGACGGCGCACGGCGGCGGCGGCGGCGGCTGCTGGCGCGCCGCCTTTGCTGGCACGGCCGCGGCGGGCGGGGACACCGCCTGGCGGGCCTCCGTTGGGCGGGCCTCTGCCGCGGCTGCCGCGCGCCCTCGGCGCGCGCCGGGCGCGCCGAGGGAAAGCAGCCCAGCGGCGTCCGCCTGGCGCCCTCCTCGCTCGCTGTGCAGGGCATGTCCGGCCCTCCGCCTCCACCGTCGCCTCCTCCGCCCTTTCCGCCTGGTTCCTGATTCCTGCTGGCTGCATGGTCGTTCGGACGAAGCCTCCCCCCCCCCCAGGGCTGGTCGGCCCAGGGGGGTGATCAAACAAGAACCATGTGACCCTTGGAGCACCGCTCCAGGGGTCACCGGCGGCGCACGTGTTCTTACGTGTCGTAGAAGTAAAGTAGGGACAGACACCGCCTCCGCCTCCTCATCTTCCTGCTGGGGTTGTTGATGTTGCTGCTGCTGCTCCTGCCGCCTCGCGTCCCCCTGTGTATCTTCTCCGCCGCCAACCTTCCTTTCTCATGTCCTGATTGATTGTTTTCCTATCAATATCTCTCTCTCCCTCGCTTCCGCATTCTCGCCGTTTCCTTACTCTGTCCACCTCCGTCCTATCCTCCTCCTCCTCCTCCTTTTCCTCCTCCTCCTCCTCCTCCTCCTCCTCTGCCTCCTCCTCCTCCTCTTCCTCCTCCTCCTCCTCCTCCTCCTCCTCCTCCTCATCCTCCTCCTCATCCTCCTGCTGCCCCTCCTCCTCCTCCTCCTTCTCCGCTTCCGCCTCCGCCTCCGCCTCCGCCTCCTCCTCCTCCTCCTTCTCCTCCTCCTCCTCCTCCTCGAAGGCGTTTCTTTATGTTCGGCGATGACGGGCGTCATGGGGGGGGGGAGGGCGGGGGGGGGATGACGTGACGCCCCCCCCCCCGCCGCGTGGCTCCGGCACCGCAGCCGCGCCCGCGCGCACGACGCGACATGCGACGAGCGACGAGCGACGACGACGACGCGAGCAGCATGTAAGTGGCGGTCTGCCCATTGCGCCTGTGTACACCACAGCGCTCGCGTGCACCACACCGCGCGTGTGCACCACACCGCCTGCGTACACCGCAACAGCCGTGTGCAACGCACCGTCCGCGTATACCACAATACTTGGGAGCACTACAGCGCCGGTGTACATACACCGCAGCAGCCATGTGCAACACAACGCCCGTGTACACCACAGTGCTTGCGTGCACCGCAGCGCCTGTGCACTCTACACCACAACATCCGCGTGCAACGCAGCGCTGGTGTACACCACAGTGCCTGCGTGCATAGGACAGGTAGACTGAGCATGTACGTCAGGATCTGATGCGGACAACCAAACGCCACGCCAGGGGAGTTCTGATAATCGAATGCGACGTTTTCCCCCCCTCCCTCCTCCTCCACCTCCTCCTCCTTTTCCTCCTCCTCCTCCTCATCCTCGTCCTCCTTTTCCTCCTTCTTCCCCCTGTCGTGCGGCTTGGCGTTACAACACACGTGCGCATCTCAGCGTGCACCTCAGAATGGTCGATTGAATCGGTCCACCTGGTTCTCGGACGGCTTGCTTAGCTGGAGCCTCCTGGACGCAAATGGGGGTTAGGGTGATGCGGGCGGACTCGGGGGGACTCGTAAATTCCAGCGGCGCTCAATTTGTCCATGAAGATTTGTTTTCCATTGTTTTTTATGGAATCCACACGCGCTCCATTTTGTCACAAGGATTCCTTCTGAAATTCTATACAAAACACTAGTGCTGTGTTGCACACGGGTGATGTGGTGCACACAGGCGCCGTGGCGTACACAGGCACTGCAATGCACGCAAGCATTGTGGTGTACACTGGTGCTGTGTTGCGCAAGGCTGATGTGGTGTACGGAGGCGCCGTGGTGTACACAAGAGCTCCTGTGCCCGCAGGCACGGTGGCACAAACTGACGCTGTGCTGCGCGCGGCTGCTGTGGTGTACATCGGCGGCGTGGTGTACACAGGCGCTGTGGTGCACGCGGGCACTGTGATGTACACAAGCGTTGTGGTGCATATCGCCACCTACATGTTCGTGCTACCCGTCCTCCGTCATTGCTAACCATTCCCAAACGCCGCCGGCGCGGAACGTGACGTCATCGACCCCCCCCCTCTCCCAGATGATTGCCGTCATCGGCCCGGACTTACAACACAGGCTCCACCCGCGTCCGCGCGCACGACGACGATGAGCGACGAGCGACGAACCACGAGCGACGACGACGAACGACGACGACGACGACGACGACGACGACGACAACGACGACGACGACGACGACGAAGCCTGCGGACCAGACATCTATGCGGATTCCTACGCGGACACATACGCGGATCCCAATGCGCACGGCGGCAGTGCCCAGAGCGCACTGGGGGGGAGCGTTGCGTCATAGGGGGGGGAGCGGGGGCCATGACGCCCGTCATGCCCCAAGCAAGAAAGAAAGAAATGGCCTCCTCCTCCTCATCCTCCTGCTCCTCCTGCTCCTCCTGCTCCTCCTGCTCCTCCTGCTCCTCCTGTTCCTCCTCCTCCTCCTGCTCCTCCTCCTCCTCCTCCTCCTCCTCCTCCTCCTCCTCCTCCTCCTCTTCCTCCTCCTCCTATTCCTCCTCCTCGTCGTCCTCATCCTCCACCACCCCCGCGGCCGCGAATCTCCCCCTTGCGGCCGACGCACATTGGTCGGGAGCCGGCAGACTCCCCCACCGCCCTTTACACAGAGCGGTTCTTCCACGGATGGCCGACTGTTTGGAACAGCGGCCACTCCCAAACGGGATGTCTCTCAGCCCGGGCCTCTGGACAACATACTTGAGAGCGTCGCGGCGACCAGGAGGACAGTGCCGTCGACCGCAGATTCGGTCTAGCACCGCGGACGTCCCCCTCCGCCGGCTCCCCCGTGGCCACCTCGGCGCAAGCGTCGTCGTTTGGGTTCCCTGGCCCACGCCTGGGGCCCCGCTCCCCGCGCTTCTGGCCGCCTGGCAGCGCCGCGCCGCCCAGACCCTCCCCGCGGCCAGCCTTTCCGCCGCCGCGCCGCGGCCCGGCCCCTGCTGCCCGCGGCCGCAGCGCCGCGCCAGCTCACGCCCCCGCCAGTCCCGCGCCCAGCAGGGCGGCCCGCGCCCAGCTCCGCCTCGGCGACCCGGCCTGGCGGCCAAACGCGGCGTCCGCCCGCGTCTGCAAGCAGGCGCTTGCAGCGCCCAGCCCTGGGGGCCCGCCAAGGACGGTGCAGCGTGGCCGCTACAAAGCACAGCTGGAGCATGCTGCCCAGCCCCTGCTGCAGCTGGCGGATGCCCGCCGACCGCTCGGTGTCCAGCCGTGGGAACAGCAGCTCCAGGGCCAGGGCGTCCTGGCCGAAGCGGCCGTGGTCCTCGACCGCGGACGGCACCGCATTCGCAGTCCCGGGTAGCGCGTTCGCAAGTCGTTTTCCGCCGCCGCGGCCGCCGCCCCAGCTCCCCAGGCGGCCCTGCGGTCCAGCGCGTCCAGGGACACCCACCATGCTGACGACGGCGAAATCCACCCTGATGGGCACCGCCGCCTGGGGGGGGGCGGACGATGTCCAGGCGCGGTTCGGGCGGGCTGGCTGCCGCGTGCGACAGGACCACATATGCGTGGACCGAGCAGCCCATCTCCTCGCATCACGCTTTCAACACGGCGCAACCGGCGTCGTGGAGGTGGACTTGCCAGTCACCCACCGCGCGGAACCGCGCATGCTGCCCCTTCGGGTCCAGCACAGCTTCGCACACGCCCCCGCAGCAGGGCAAGTTCTCGCCCAATCGCACGCCCACCGCAACGCCGAACTGCGCGTCTGAGAGGCGGTAATCCGGCCGGCATGGCGCTCGTCCCGGGCTCCCCAGCGCTGCGCAGGCCGCGGCAACCAGCGGGTCGGCAACGATGCGCGCAGCCGCAGCAAGGGAGGCCGAAGCCGAAGTACGCTGCGAGGCTACCAGCCCCTCGTCGCCCACGTGGGCGGCCCAGTCTTCCAGGGAAGCATGAAACACTCGCGTTGCCTCGGGGAGGCATCTCCGCGCCCACGGGCTCACGACGGCCAGCGCGCCCGCACTGCCTAGCCCAAGTCTGCGCAGGCAGTCCGGGAGGCGGAGGTGCCACGACGCCACCTGGGCAGCCGCCGCCGCGAGCTCGGCGCTCTGCAGCCCCAGCCCGCCGTCCTTCCCCGCGAGGAAAAGCTTTTTCCCGCTGAGGCCCTCCAGCGGCCGGCCGCGCAAGAGCTGCACCTCCGCCAAGAGCGCTGCGTTCAGCGCGCGGGCATGTCGTCGGGACGCCGCAGGTGCGGGCGAAGAGAATTCAGTCGGAGCTCGTCGTGGCTCGCAGCAGCGCGAGGGCCTGCTGCGCGTCGAGCCCAGCGGCCAGGAGCTCTCTCAAGCGGGAGTACACCCGCACACAGGAGACCGCCAGGCGGGCCACCTCTGGGCCCTCCTCTGCCAGCCTGCTGCCGTCAGCTGGCACTGCGGCCGGGGCTACCGGCACCCTTGGCGCATCGGGCAGCACGCCGTGGCGCGGCACGAGGGCCCGCGGCTCCAACTCTGGACGCGCCGGGCGCGCTGCCACATCACATTGCGCCCTGGACTCAACTTGGCTTTGGTCGGGCTGCCTCGAGGGCCCGCCTGCGCACAAGCAGCAACGAATGCCGCCTCCGTCTGCGCCGCCACGGCCGGCTCGCAGATGACGTCCAAGTTGCCCTGGTAGGAATAGCTGCGCACTGGCTCGGTCGCCGTCCCGGCCGCGGCCCCGCCGAGTCCGCCACGCGCTTGTAGCAGAGCGGGAAGAGCTGGCTGGTGAGGCCCTCGCCTTGGTCACCCCCTTGCTCCTTGGGGGGCAGCGTGCGGCTGCCGTCTTGCGCCACATGCACGTGCACACCCGCCGTGCACAGACCGCCGCAAGCCCACGGCAGCAGCTCTGGGACCATCGCCTGGACGGTCCGCGCCGCCACAGCACGGTCGTACTCGTTGCGCGCACTGCTGGCGTCCAAGCTGAGCTTGCAGCATCCCGGCCGGCTGTCCAAGTCCAGCAGCGCTGCTTTTTACATGTACTCTGCCCCATCCCTTGCGTTTCCCACGGAGTACTCGCGCCGTCGCCGAGAATGCAGCCGCTGGACGAGGATGGGAACGAGGACCCCGCCGTGACACACGGGGCCCATCCTGGAACGCTGGAGAAGTCGGGTTTCGAGAAAGACACCACGATGCGATCGGCCCGGGATACCCGGGATACCCCCAAGACCTCCGAAAACTTCTCCAAATACCTCCGAAACCCACACACACACACACACACACACACGCGAAATCATTTGTTTTCAATTAGCTCCCCAAACCTCCGATGTCTTGATGACCTTTCAGTGCGGAGCCTCTGGAGGTCCCGATCCTCTCTCCAACTCCTGCTCTGTTCATCGCAAAGTCGCTCTCGGACGGTCCCGGGTCCCCGCGAGGGCCCCCGGAGGCCGAATACGGCAAGACACCTCCTGTTTGTGGGCGGCGCGCGGAAGGGGGTTCGGGGAAGGGGGGAGGGCTTCTTAGAAGCAGGCTGCTTCCCAGCAGGCGCAGGCCCTTCTCCATCTACACAGACGAGGCCCACGCCTTCTGAAAAGCAGAGGGTGCTTCTAAGTTAAGCAGGCTCTCCATCGACAGACGAGGCCCACGCCTTCTGAAAGGCAGGGGGTGCTTCTAAGTTAAGCAGCCTTCCCCCCCCCCCCCCCTTCTGCGCGCGGCCGAGCCTCGACGTCTGCCCACCTCGTGCGCCGTCTGGCCCCCCTGGCTGCCGCCTCCGCCGCGCCCGCCGCCCCCGCAGCGCGCGGCCGCGCGGCCGCCAGCCGCCGCATGCCGCCCGGGTGGGCGGCGGCCCGCCCCGCGCGGGCGCCGCCCCGCGCGGCCGGCCGCCCCGCGCGCGCGGCGCGGCCATGGCGGCAGGGGGGGGCTTCCCCCGCGCGGAGGGAGCGCGCGGGCGCCCAGCCTGTCTCGGGGAAGCGCGGGGCGAAGGTCTTCGGCTGCCCTCGGCATCCGCGGGCCCTCGCCGCCCCCCCCCCCCCTCGGGCCGTCGAGAGAGGCGGCCCGGGGGGGGGGGGGGGAAACAGCCCTGGGGCAGGGGTCGGGACTTCCTGGGACCCCGTCTTGAAAAGGCAAGGCGGCGGACCTCCGGGAACGGGTCCGGGAGGAAGGGGAGAGGGGAGCGAATCGAGGAGAGGAGGATTCAGGTTCGAGGGTCGAGAACCTCCAGCTGGGTCGAGGTGACCAGCATGAGGGAAGCGGGTCTTGGAGGGAAGGGTTTCCGCTTCGGCCCTGGGACACTCAGAGAACTTATGGAAAGCCCTGCCTGGGGCAAGGACCCATTTCCCTCCGGACCCCCGTCCTTCATGCCAGCTTGCCCTCGACGAGAGTGCGACAGCAGCAGCAGGAGGGGGGGGGCGGCACCTTTCTTCGGCGGTGACTGTGGAGGCGGACAGCCCAGGGGAGAGCAGCACACGCGTGCGCCCAGGGGCGCCGATGGCCCAGGAGCCTTCGGCCGGGCTCCCCCGCGAAGGCGCGCAGCGCCCGCTCCTGGGCTGTTCGTCCCCGCCGCCGCCCCCGACTTTTCTGGAGCACGCGCGATGTGCGGCGGGCACAAACGGGTCCCGGCGCAGACGCGGTGCCACCCCGCAGGAGGCACCACGGGCGGGCCCCAAAGGCCGCCGAGGCTGCTCCGCACGCGCGATATGCGGGGAGCCACCCGGCGGCGAGAGGGGCAACTCCCTGGAGTCCAGAGAGGGGGGAGGGGGCAAGAGATGAGAGATGGGAGGGAGGGGAAGGGAAGCGGACAAGTTAGCTGCGCTCGGGCCAGACAGTCGGCCCGTAGAGTAAGGATGCGCGGTGAGGACGCAAGGGCATCGGACGACCGTGCCGAGGCTCTTCGAGGTTGGCCATCGAGAGTGGCCGAGGATGGACCGGAGACGACCGCAGAGGCAAAGATGCAAGAGTACACGTCGTTCATGTCTGACCGTGATAATGTATAATTGTGCTCGTCTCTATTTGTTCCAGGCCCGCTAGTGGCAAGGAAGAGGCGCAGAATAGAACAATTAGAAACGAAAGGATTTTGCCCCCCCCCAAAAAAAAAACAGAGAACTCTCGAAGAGTTAAACATGAACGATGCGTAACCCTGGGAGGTCGATCGTCCTTACTGTGCGGGCCGACTGCATCTGACAGCCTGCCCCTCCCGCCCACCCGCTGCCTTCCCATAGCGCTGAGCTGCTTCTCGGTCCGCCGACGGGCGTCACAGCGGACCTGGGACCCGTCAAGGGGGCCCCCATCGCGTCATGCGCGAGCAGAGTCGGGGAGCTGTGCACATTGGAGCAGGAAGGGGTGGCGGATGAGCAAGAGGATGCGCAGGAGGGAGACGGCGAAAATGAGAATCAAGGAAACCGAGAAGGAGGAGCAGCAGCAGGAGCAGGAGTACAAGGAGCGGGGGCAGCAGGAAAACCAGGGGAAGGCGGAGGAGAGGAAAGGAGCGGAGGGACAACGACGAGAAACAACTCGGATGCAGGATTGTGGCCCGCGCTGGGGAGGGGAAGGAGGGATAAGGAGGGAGCAGGAGGGGGCGGAGGAAAGGAGATGAGGAGAAGGAGGAGGAGGAGGAGGAGGAGGAGGAGGGAGGAGGTGAAGGAGGGTTGGAGGAGGAGGAGGAGGAGGAGGAGGAGGAGGAGGAGAATGAAGGAAGGGCGAGGAGGATGGGGAGGATGGAGAGGAGGAAGGAAGGCGACGAATGCGAGCATGAAAGACAGCTGAAGTCTTGCAACCAAAACCAAACGGATTGACTGATCGAAGCCCCTCCCTCCCCGCGGCGGTCCTGCGCGAGGCGGGAGAACTCGGCATCACGGACGTGTCGCGGAGGGTCCCCGAGGCGGGGGTAGCGTCCACACTGAATCCGCTTGAGGTTATCATCCCCCTTTCTTGCTTCTTGCTGGGGGAACACGAGTCTACAAGCCACCTGGGGTCGCGAGTGGCGGTCTTGCCGCAGGCAGCACAAACGGTGAGGCCATATCGCCCCCAAAACTGAAGGCGGCGGGACGGGTGGAGGCTCTGACCTCCTATCTCCTGGGGCCCTTTCAACGGGAGGATGCCGTCACCCACAGGCCTGGCCTGGCACCTGGTTACGGCAGCCTGCTTAACAGAGGTCCTCGTCTCGAAACGGGAGCAACTCTAACACACGATTTTCGGACCGAATTTCCGCCACCCGTGGGCGGATGATCTCGACGCACTGGCCAACACGGGCACAGGAGGGACCTCGGGGCGCTCGGGACGGGACGCGGTCCAAGGATCCGCTTGAACAGACTCTTCCAAAGCTCTACGAGCCCGCCTACGGACCAGGGCCGCCTCGGCATCCCTGCGGTCGGTCTCGGGGACAAAGCCGAGGGTGAATTCGCTCCAATCCGAACGGGCCGCCCGACCAGCGAGAATATCCGCGCATTCGTTGCCAGCAGCACGGTGAACTTAACGCTCGCTGGTGCAATCGAGGTCCCCAGCCGAAACGTGAGACGGGGCCCATATAACAATTATCTCCGCGCCCCTCCCCCTCGCAGCCCTGAAGATTCTGGTCCAAAGTTCACTGCTGCGCAACTGACGAGAGTGGACGCCTTGGGACCAGGCTCTGAGGACGGGGAGGTGGTCGGCAATCGATCTTCATTTGTCCTATAGTCCTCTCGAGACTCTGCGAAAACTGTGAGCTCACCGCGGGGAACGGTCTGGGCCTTCCCAGGGACGGTATTCGAAAACCCCGCGCACGGCTCCCAGTCAAACGGGCCCCCATCGAGAGCGACAATCGCAGCCCCGACCCTGCGGCGCCGAGGGTCCTCGGAGAACTCGCCCCCCGAACCGTCCCCGAAGACGCAGACGAAACCTTCGGCATCGCGGGGTGCGGAGGCGAAGCTACCAAATTCTGATGAAACTGGCGCCCGTTCCTCATCGAACACAGGGCATGTGTCAGCGCGGCTCGGGGCGCCCCTTAGGCCACAGCGAGGGGCTCGCCTAGAAGTTGACCCGCGCCTGCTCGACGAGGTGCACGCTGTCGTCGTAGTCCTTGTGACCACAATTCTTTGGACAGCGCCATATTCGATGGAATCATGTCTCGTCGGCCTCACCGCACCGCGCACGCGTGGCTGAAACCTCATAGATGTCAGACAGCAGCGCGGAGGCGCGCGTGCGGCCACTGCCCACCTGTGTTGACAGAGGTGGGGTGGCCGACCCGGCCAAACTCGCCAGCCCTGCTGAACCTCTCGATCTCGCGGGAGACGCGCATGAGGTCAGCGCCAGCGCGCAGGCCCTCAGCAACCTCATGCTGGGGCGCCTTGGCCCAGAGCTTCTTGTCGATGAGGCTGGAGACGTTATCGAGAAGCTACGTGAAGTCGCTGGTCATCTCCATGGAGTCGCCGTCGGACGCCGTGGGGATGAGCCACGACTGCCCTCCGTCAGTGCCCCGCTGCGCGGCTGCAACTGGGCCCCGTCCGATGTCCACCAGGGTGGCCACGGGGGGCCCTTCACGATGCGCCACTTTTCTGGCCTGCACTCTTGATCCTTGGGGCGACGATCGACCACGCCTTCTGAACGCGCGGAAGCAACTCTGGGTTCTGTCGCCGCAACATTAACCAAGCTGACAACTGTTGCCTCCGCACTGCCTCGGCTGGGTCACCGTCTCCCAACGCCGCGGCGAGCACAGTGGTCAGACATCTGCCTGGCCCATGGCCTGCGACGGATCGATCTGCTTGCCGACGGAGATTCGTGATCTCCTACTCTGGAGCGCCCATCTGATGGTGCCCGTACAGTGCTTGAAGGAGACTGCCAGTGCGCCACAGCCCCTGCGCGGCGCGACGGAGCTTGGCGACCCGACTGACCTTGCCGACCGCGTGGGACCTCACGGCTGCCTTCCCCATCCTGCCACGGGCCTTTGCTCGAGCACGGGCACGACCAGCAGCTGCGTCACAACCAAGGTCGGCGGCGGCGGTGGCCACGCGAGCTGGAACGCCTAACTTCCTCAAGCCCTGGGCAACCTGCTTGGCCATGGCGCTGGTCGTGGCGATAACAACCGTCTTATGTGAGATGCTCAGATTGGCCTCGTTCTGCATCTTCTGGCCCACGAACGCTCCAGCCTCGATCAGCGTGTTCGTGACCGACCTGACCGCACCTTCAGCTCGGATGATGGTGTCGTATATGAAGGTCCTCATCATGATGCTGCGCTGGTATCGCAAGTGGGCCTCCTGCGGAAGGGGCCCCAACATGGCCTTCGCGAGCTTGCCACCATGAGGAGGATCCCGCTGGATACCCATCTCCGCTCTCTCAACCTCAGCGTTAAGAACAGCTGCAGCTCCAGTGCCAAGATTATAGCTTGGAGGCCCTGCTTGAGGCCTGCCTTGCACAGGAGCGGCATGGATATACTGTCGTCGAACTTCTCAAGGTCCAGCAAGATCGCGCCGCTGCTGATGGACAACAAGTGGCAACACTCGTCCATGCAACTTCTCACCAAGGCCGCCTGCAAGGACGACGATCCTGCGACCGCGGTGCCCCGGAACTCGGCGAGGCCCTCGCTCCAACACGCTGAGGGGGGGTACCTGATCTTGGACCAGAACTTCATCACGAACGGCAGCTGCCCCACGATCCTGTCGCCGCCCTTGGGCTTCGGAACGACGGCGCCCAGCACTTCGAAAAGCTGGGCTGGCCGCATGCCCTGGGCCTCGATGGACGCGTAAATCGAGACAGGCTCCTGGCGCGCAGGTGCAGGTAGGCGTTGGACCCCAATGGAGCCCATGGAGTCGATGCCCTTCGCCTTCTCGGAATTCACGCGGCCGACGACGGAGTCGAGCTGCTCGAAAGAGGCGGGGCCCAGGTCTTCCTGGCGAGCCCTGCGCATCACGAACTTCAGGCGTTTGAGGATGGTTGACTGCGTGGCATGTGCATCCGTCCAGACGTCCTGCCGGGCGGCTGCGCGCCTGTCCATGATCGTGCTAGGAGTGGCGAAGGCGTGGCCCGAGCTATCGCAGTGCTCCCCGATAGCACGTCAGCACATGCATTACTTACCTCTCGCTGGAGGCTCGAATCGTGAATCTCGTCCTCTCCTACGTGTGAGGGGGCCCAGCAAACCTGAATTTCTCGACCTACCGAGGCCGCTTCGATCCTGGCCCATAGGTCAGTGTTGAGCGGGACCGACGACAGATGACGACGAACGCCTTTGGACCAGACTTGGGCCAGGGGGCAGTGGCCAGTGATAAATCGGATGTTGCCCGAAACCCTCTCGAGGAGGGTCGCAAAGGCGGAAAGCTCGGCTCGTGGCACGGTCTGGGCTCGGCCGACCAAGGACGACGAGACGCCGAAGATGGGGTCAAGAGCACTGGACCCAGACCCCAAGGCGAGGAAACCGAAACCAACGCGGCGCCGACGCCTGTCATCGCTCTGTTCTCCCCCCGAGCCGTCTCCGAAAAAATATCTGAGGCCCGCCTCATCTCTCGGAACCTCATCGAGGGCTCCGAAGACCAGAACTGCTTCTTTTTCCTCATCGTACAAGGGCACAGTGGCGGCGGTCGGCGGAACGCCGCGTAGCCACAATGCAGGCGACGCTTCGTGGTTCGCCATGGCTTTGACGAGCAGGTGGTCGCTGTTGGCGTAGTCCTTGTGGTCGTGCCGGCAGGTCCAAACTCTGTGAAACCGGGCTTCCGTGTGGAACCCGCGCCTTGGGCATGCCAGGCCGACGTCGCAGCCTGCAGCCCGTAGTCGTTCTCGCGACCATTGCCTTCCAGTGCAGGCCACGTCGTTGCGGGCGACCTGGTCGAACTCGCCTAGCTT